AGAAAATTAAGTGGGTGTGTCGGCTCACAGATATCTCGCATTTATTTCAGTAGCAACTTTATCTCGATATTATCTGCAAATGGTTCGTTGGGGGGGGGGGGGGGCTTACGGTATGTCACTCGTTAGCTTTTTAGAAAAGTTCACGCAGACCCTCTCACTTCAAAGCTATTTATTAAATTTTTGTAGTTTATCTAATTTCAACAATGTTAATGTTTTAACATTCAACGAAAAAACTGCTCAAAAAGCTACAAAGAAGCAAGATTTATGAGGGACTATTTCTTGTGGTGGAAGGATATTAAGCAGATAATTCTGCAAATCTGCACATTTTTCAAATTTAATATCTTGGAACTTCAGCCTCGCATACTTTTACTTTAAGAATATTTTCCATTATGACATTGCTAGGAATATTTAATATAGGTCTTAATTTATATTTTTAGAACAAGTTTTACACCTTCCTTCAAGAAAATTTGCCAAAAAATGAAGATATGTTAAATAAGTCAAGATAAAATTTACACCATTTTCGCCTGAAAATCACATATTTTGACCAATATTTCAAAATTGACATCACTGACCCTATCTTTTTCTTTCATTATTTTACAGTACTCGATACTTGTGACTGATCAGCACTTAAGTCGCAAAAAGGTCACACCATAATTAACGCGCATTAATTTACAAGATTTGTTCAATGATGAATATTATTCCAAGTATTTTACATAAAATAAAATCATATTTATTGCCATGGTTACATCTGTTTAAAGATGATAAAGGTTAAAGTAATTAACCAAAGAGTTAAAATTTAAGTGCAAAAAAGTCAACTTCACTGTACCGTATACGTAGATCGGTTAGATGAACACTGATCCCCTATTTTCTCTGCGATTTTGAGTCACTCTATATGAGTACTTATCCAAAATATACTTCTCAAAAAATTCTTGATTTAACAAATTTCTCGTGTGACATACCTTAACTTGTGAAGATGCAGTAGGGTGTTCAAATTCCTTACAGAGATGAAAAAAAATCTGTTTTTATGCAACTTGATTTATTTAATGCTTTTCTTTAAACCTGTTTTTAATGTTAAGATATGCATTGAAAGAAAAGTCCTTACAGCAAGAAATAAACAAAATATGGCGAGAAATAAGGTAATTTTTCTCCGGACTATGAAATTCCTTTTTTAGTAATGAAGAAAGTTTTTCTCGCATTGCGTAGTATACCTATACAGCAAAACTCGGTTATAACGAAGTCACTGGAACCTATGAAATTACTTCGTTATATCCGTAATTCGTTAGAACTGTATAAGAAATTCATTAAATTTATATAGCTGGGGATCCAAGATGACTTCTCTATATCCGTAAATTCGCAATATCCGTGTTTGTACTAAACGAGTTTTGCTGTATATGATATTTATATGGGTGAAACATATGGAGATAACACACAATAATCATGATCAAAAGTCCATAAAACAATACAAAATAGGAGAAGAGCAAATACGGACCTCTAAAAACCTCTCAGAGGTGGGATCAGGTGCCATGGAGGAAGTGATCAGAACGGTCACACCCGCCGTGTGCTCCTTGTCATGATCGAGAAATAACGGAAAAATCCATCGTCAATTCAATGTATAAATAATGGAATACCAATTAGCATGAAAAACGTCAGTCAGAATTTGACTCAATGATAAATTGTATTTGCTGACATGGTCATTGTATCGACCATAGAACTCACGAAATGATGACTTAAAACAAGACTGCTGATATTCTTGTTTCATCAACTTGTTTGTCAATAATTTAATCTCGTTTTGTTTTAGAAATTGTTCATACGTAGACCATGCTTTTGCATATTGAATCAACTGAGATATATAAACTCCATATGCAGGTGATGAAGGTACATTGCTGCATAAGTAATGAAGGGAGGTTGACGATTGGAAAGTTAAAGTCATCACGTCTATCATAAAGCTTGATTGTTAGATTACCATTAAAGTCTTTTTCAAGTAGAATTTCCAAATTCGAAACATATGTGTCAGACTTTTTGGCATCTTTTATCTCAAGCTCTGCGGGATATATCCTATCGACATAAGATTGGAAATTACCATTGTTTATTGACAATACGTCGTCGGATATCAAAAAGTCGAGTTGAAAGCCACAGCAAGTGTATTCTGCATTTCATGTATAAGATTTTGGACAGCTGCTTCATATGAATACAAAAATAGGTCTACTAATAACGGGGCGCAATTGTTACCCATGGCAATTCCAATAGATTGTTGGAAAAACCTGGTCTCCAAAAACCACGTTGATATTTTCAATCAGAAACTCAAGCATCTTTTTGATGTCAACATCAGAGTACTTCTGTGTGCAATCAGAATGTGTTTTAACAAAAAAATTTTGCAAATGACCAATGTCCAGGTAAGTAAATGTACGAGTTCCACTTTTATTGCAAAAGCAACTGTCAATGATATCAAAAAGCCTGAACTTAAATTTATCGTGGGGAATGATTGTGTATAAAGTTGAAAAGTCGTAGGTTTTTAAGCTGTTGATTTTGGTAAAATCTTGTGATCTCAAAAGTTCGTTGGAATTTTTAAGTATATCCACATCTGATTTACACCACTTCTTAAATATATGGTTGCACAGTACTCTTGAAGTTTTTCCTTCACTACTGTCAATATCTTAGTGAGGAGTAAAGAAGGAGGCTTTGTTGAACATTTACAAGAACCCGCTATGTATGTTTATAAGGATTTTTAAGAAGATTCTGGATCCAATATAGATATGGTAGTTCAAATTCATTTGGTTCTTTGGGATATTAAAAATATTCAAAAATGACATAAGAATGTCTTCCTTAGAAGGGGAACTATGAGTATCAGTTCGATTACCATTTGTAGAATTAAATCTAAGTTCTTCAAAAATACAATTTATATATATAATGAGCCTTGCAAAAGAAGACAATGTTGTTACCTGCTTTGTCAGCAGGGATCAGTACGTACTGATCATGTAACCTATCACTACTGGATTATTGAATACACAAGGATAGATGGTTTTTAATGAAATAAAACAGTATTGTCGAGGGTTTGTGGGAAGAGAAGCCGACAGAATACCCCTGCCTTTTAAGATGGGGACAACGTCTTATGGGTCCATTTGACGTGTAAATCGTTCTATTCTTATAAAATTGTAATTGTACACAAAAAAAAACTGATACAGGGCTTTGTATTTTGTACGAAAAAATATGCTTAAATTTAAGGTTTTAGGGTAATGGAAATGAATTGCTTTACAACTTTTAAAATGAGGTAATGACGGATTAAGAAGAGGCGGGGGGGGGGGGGTTGTGTCCAAGACATACATAAGATTTGATAAATGAATTTCTTTTGGTGTGGCTGTGGGTCCCTTCTCCGACCAAAACTGGCCAACCCCCTTCAAGATTCCTGGATCCGCCACCGATATGTAATTGACGCCTTGTTTATATTAAACGGGTTCGCATTCTATATTGGAGAGTTGCATGTAAGTTCATCTGATAATTGAATATCCCTCGTTTAAATAAAGTCAATTTGAAGGCGCAACCCCCACGAAATTTTAACTTAAACTGATACATGTAATTTTTTTTTAAAGTGGTAGTCACCACACGAAAGCATGTTTTATACACATAATATCTCAAAAGAATCAATCGCGACATGTATCACTTCTGTTTCCTGGGTGAATTGAATACAAAATTAAATATTTTTTTTTCATGAGAGGAGGCCGACGGACTGTTTAACCAAAATTTGGCAGATTGATGTTGCATATACCTAAAATGTACCCGACATCATAAGATTTCGATATTATTATTAGGCACCGAGGCATAAGTATCATGCACGTCGGTCCTTCTCATAAATGAAGTGGAATAATTTTTATAGATTTAACAGGTTGTTATTAACTTGTATAGCGTAATTGTTTTCTAAGACACCTGAGTGTGAAGGGAATACAGGTATAAAATTTACTTATAGTCGCGTCAGATATTTATATCTGAACAATTCAAGTTTATTATTGGCTACACTTAAAAAAAATTAAATCATATGAAAGCGTCAAGTATACTACTTAATCGCAATCTTACATCAGTAAAGCTGAGAATATTAAATCTTTCAATATTATTCAATCTTACATTAGTAAAGCCGAAAATATTTAATGATCGAGCTACAAGCTTTACAGATCCTTAAACCTAGAAAAGGTTATTACATAAAAAGGGCTCGTCTCCCAGACGGCTGTCCCCGCCTGACAAACCAGGACCGCCTGCTCAGAGATCTGTTGCGAGAGTTTAGAGGGATAATCGTGGGCTTATCAGGATTAACGCAGATTTAATCACCCTACTGCAAACAGCGAGAGAGAATTTTAATACACTAAACTCTTTCGTACTCCAACTGAGGGGATAGCCATAATAGCTATAAGAATCGGTAAGTATTTACTTTCATATTATCAAAATAGTTTGCATTTGTTTTTGTATTTCGCCAATTTTTACCCTTCGCCCTACAACCAAGAAGAACGCGTGCGGGAGGGGGTGGAGTGGGGTGGGGGTCAAACTCTTGGTTTAAAAATGTGGTTTTTGTCACACATTTCATCAATGTTTGTGCAGGGTTTATTCTAGACTTATAATTTACTAATTGAATAAAAAAGAATTTATGTGAGTTTTTGTCGACATTAAATAATTTATTATTGATGATTATAAGGTATCAATTTTGTTTTATTAATAAAATCAATATTGTGTTTATAACTTTAGGATGTACATTTGTCTGTCGTAGAGTTGTCCAATGTAGATTCAATTCAAAATAAAGCGAGTGAAACGGACTGCTTGCTACACATGGCGGCGCTCTTTGTCTCGACGACATTTAATTCATTGTTTTGATTTAATCAGCATAGTTTTCAATTTTCCGGTTGCACTATAAACAAATTATAAACTTTCAATATTCTCTGTTGAAAAACTAGAGATTAAATTTCCAATATGAAAACAAGTGAAGTAATGATTAATAATATTTGCAAACTGATGTTATTTTTACAGGAAACTTTAAAAATCACAATAACGACGTAATTGAAAACAGTGTGGGACATAATGTTTATAAGCCAATGGAGTTAATCGAGTGAATTACAGTAATGTCCATGCGACTTCCATCTTCCAATTTATTTGGGGCAAATGAAGCACCGCAGGTAAATATAATGGATGGAAGAAATATTTCTTGAAACCAAGATTTAACACTTCATAATCTTACATTTATATTTGAGTAAAGTAGATTAAAAATTCACCTGCATTTAACTAACTTCATTGACGGTTCATATGCTTATTTAAAATTTAAATACCCAGTTCAATTGTTTAAAAAGTCAATGCCGAAAAGTCACTGGTATTTTTTTTTGTTTGAAAACGAGAAATCTGTACTATTTCATTGTATTATGGTTATTTTTTTTTTACTTCTTTTTCTTCTTTTTTTTTTTTAAGCAAAACACGAAATCGTCTATTTCACAGGAACAATACTATAATACATCTTCATTTAATTTATTTTCAATAAGTATTTTTCATTAAGTTTTTACCAATTTTCGAGATTTGCAAAAATAAATCTTTTTCCAGCATAACATTATTTAATGATCTGTGCATTACTTACTCAGTTTGACACATGGAACCTGGCTAACAGACCTGTTATCTGCGAGTCCTACACCCTAACCACCAAATACCGCCAGTGTAAGAACCCCGTCACACGGAGATTTAAGGGCGTGCTTGGCTTTAAGCGGAAGCGACGCCCCGAGTCTCGTGCTGAAAGCGAGGGCGGAGAGTCTAACCACAGTCACGGCACGTCCGACATCGACTTCGACAAGGAATTCCCAGACGATTTTGATTACGATGGTATGCTTTTTTGTGGACCCTTATTTCTAAGCATTAACTGAAATTTACATAATTATTCATCTTTAGTTACACAATCATTATAGAAAAAGAAAACAAGGCAGAAGAAAAATTATCGAACACACCCAAAGTTGATGTCTTGATTCAGGATCCGCCCCCAGAATCTGTGACTTCAAGTTTGTATCCATGTATATCTTTTGCGGTGTCGGGAGGGATATAATTTTCCCTATGCTGTGCTGGTGGTGGTGTTTTCTTGCAATCCTCAAGCTTTAATTAGCTCTTTCTGTTTGGCTTTCTTTTTCTTACAGTGGAAATAATATTCATTCAGTGCATAATATTTTCCATGGATTGATTAAATACATTTTTTAGGAGAAAAGGGACTTGGAGTGGGGATGACCAATAAAATATATCCAGATCAATAATCTTCTGGCAAGCCCCTCCTCCTTCAAAAAAAAAAATTAAAAAAATTGATATTTTTACTGCTGTACAACAATATACATGTAATTTAAAAAATATTCCTTTAATGGGAGACTCCATTGAATCCTCTGTAATGAAATATATTTTCTCCATCATAGTCTCATCATTTTAAGTAAAGCTTCCTTTCACTGATTTCAGCTGACATACAAGAGGATACAGACCCCAAGACCGTAATCAAACGCACCCCTTGTCAGGAGCTGTACATCCGGTCCTGCAAGTTCCTTGACGTAATTCCAGCGTCAACGTTCATACGTCATCTGGGGGACGAAAAAATCCAATTACGTCATCACTTCCTCGGTCCAGACGGAACAAAAGCTTGCTGTATGGCTCTTCTGGTATGTTCTGATGTTAGATTAATGATTAGCTCACCTGAGTCAAAGACGTTCTGATAGAATTTGCCTGACGTCCCGTCTGTGAAGCTTATATTATTGTGGGGGATTGTCTCAAAGAATATCAACATATTCATTGGCATCACAACATTCAAGAATGTACTAGTACTTTTCTACTGTGGCCTTCACAACTGCCAATACATGTAAATTATATATCAGAGGTTTTTTTAAATTAAAAGGTAGATTTGAAAGACTCTTCTGATAATTGCCAAATTGGCCAATCAATAAAACGTGAAGATAACCACCAGTGATCGATATTAAATATATATAAACAATAAAACGTGTCTAGGAAGGGTGAGCATCTCCTGTTGACCGATCACAACCACCCGGACTGGCCTGAGCTCCATGTATTCAGCAAGTAAGCGATACATTAAGAAGTCAAATTTAGTATAAAACCTTAGACAAGTAAGCGAAAATGCAGCTCTCTGATGAGTTATATTTACTAAAAAGGGCGTTGAATTTACAAGGATATTGAAAAGTCTGCAATATTAACAAATGAAAGTGTAAAATGCATTGTACTCAGAGCAAGCTCTTAAGAAGCGAATAAAGAGAAATAAACACAATAAGGTTTCCATATAAATAAGGAAAGTTGACGATAGAAAAACTGATGTATCGTTTGTCATAAAATGCAGTTGTAAGTTGGCCACATAAAATATAATGGACATTTATTAAGGACAGATGATACAAACATTTTTTTCTTTGGAGGGGACTTATATCATGTCACAAGTTTAGAAAAGTGGATAATTCTTAGAATTTTTTCTCCTAACAAGTGGAAAATGAAATAGACTTTGAAAATATTAGTACTATTTTAATATAATTACAAATATGGTCAAAACACACTCAGTACAGATTTACAGATTAAAACAAATTTCAGAATATGTTACCTTGGTGCTAAAAGTGTAATTTAAACTTTCGAAAAATATACCAAGCCAGGTGAATTTTATTAAGAAAAGCAAAATGGTAAAAATCAGCCTATATGTTATTGCTGATTTTTTTTGTCATTTTGTATTTCCTCATAAAATTCACTCGGCTTGGTATGTTTTTCTGAAGTTTATATTATACTTTTAGCCCTAAGGTAACATATTCTGAAATTTGTTTTCACCTGTAAACCTTTACTGTGTGTTATTTGTCTATATTTGTTTTTTATTGATATATTACTAATATTTTCCAAGTTTATTTCATTTTCTAGTTCTTAGGAGAAAAAATGCTAAGAATTATCCACTTTTCTAAACTTGTGACATGATATTAAGTCTATTTCAAAGAAAAAAAAATTGTTTGTATCATCTGTCCTTAAATATTCATACATTTAGGAACACCCGTGTTTCGTAATCGGAAATAAAGCTTCCATTAAGTTGTATATACTTTGGAAAGGGAATAGGAAACACAATGAATTAAGGAAAAGCATGCTCGATTTTTAATAAAAGAGAATTTCATCCTTCTTTCACTTTTCCATCGGCTGCAATACACCAAAAATAGAAAATATCTGATTTCAAGAAAATGATTTTGCACAACTATGTGTCTTTTTATTGATTTTTTTTTCAATCTTTAGTTGATAACGATTAATATTACAAGTCATGTAATCATTGTCAACGTTAGATTGAAAATTAATAAAATATGTGTATAAAAAATAAGGGAATAAATGAAAGATTATCTACATGTATTTCATTTGTAAAACTATCAATTTGATCTACCTCATAATAACTATCATGTTTTATCAATTTTTTTATTCACATTTAGTGGCAAAGGAATTAAAACTGTGAGACATAGAGAAATAAGTAATCAATAATACCAGTTTATATATTTTAACCTAAACATTTCTACTGAGTGAGTAGTTTTTTTTCGAAGTAATTACAGTTTGTGTATTTTTAGCGATTAATGTTACAGTGATTATTTCATTGCTATTGAACACCGTGTAATTTTCTCTAAATTAAGATAGCCAAAAATAACAAGTGGCTTTTAAAGATTCTATTTCCTTACCGACTGACTGGGTATCTCCTGTCTGTGTGACGTCATTGCTTCTGTCCGCCTGTCACTACAAGACTGTTATAATCTGTCTTGGACATTAACTAATTATAGTTTCATCTACGGTGTTCGATCATCGTTATAGGATATTTATTCATGCAGTTACACTATTTAAAGACAGTAAAATGGAAATGTTAAAATCAATTAAGTGATAACAATGTCTCTGTCGTATGTTGTTTAAGTACATCTTATCTATATCGACGTAAAATATTGTTTCCGAAAATTATTATTTTTTTTTTATCATTTCTAAACCAAATGCCGAACTGAAGAAATTAGTTTTCTTATATCTTAGCTATAACATATGCATAATCAATGGCGCCAAAGTGCGTAAATCTCCAGCACTTAGTAATTTCCCGCCAAAACCAATCTCCACAGTAAATGGAATGTTCAAATCCTTGAAACAAAACGAACATCAATCGTGTCGTGTATTTTCTCTTACAGTACCAAAAGCATCTTCATGTTATAATTCACTCTGGTTCTACATATAAGTACACTGTACTCTGATGTTAAAAGGATGCTGGAGTTTTTTTTTTATAGACAATTCACAAGTTCTTATAGGGTTAAATTTTCATAGCTTGTTGAAAAAAAGATTGGTTCATGTGGGGATTTGGTTTTGTCGTTGTAGATGAAGTGGGTTACTTAGTATTAGAAATAAAATATGAAAACATGAATTCATGGGTCTCGTTTCGAAAAACTAAATCCCAAATATCAACTAAATTGTATGAAAAAAGAGATGACTTCAACTTTTTTATTGACAGGGGTCTCTGTCTACTAATATATAGTAAAAATTTTTTTCCAAAACTTTCTACTTGAGAAAAAAAACATCGCCGTGGTCTTCAACTTGACATTTAGAAAAAACCAAAGGCGTTTTATCAATTTTTAATATAAAGTTACTTCCATTTTATCGATTTGATATATCCCAGGAACTCAAATTTACAGGCACCTCAGAGTTGTATCACATGTTTAATTATTTATCTAACTCACTGTAGACGACAATGACCCAAACCAAAAAAAAACTGTATGATAAATGGGATTCTTTATTTTTCCCCCTCGTCAACTTCCCTTATTTTTTATAGCTATATTATGATAACCTTAATAAGTTACCTAGATTTTCAAACTTATTCGATACCTAAGAGCTTGCTTTGAGCACGAACAGTTTTTATATCTAGACAAACTACAGGCCAATAGGTTAAAAGTTACAGGGATTTCAACATCATTTATCATTTACGTTAGAATTGACAGTCATTTCAACGACCTTGTTAGCAAATGTAACCCAACACTGGGTCGAATTTTTACAACATATTTATACCAGGATTACCTTTGTTGGGGAAAAAAAATTAATCGAAAATCCAGGGCTAATTTACAGTATCAAAGGGGAACTTTTTTCTTTTTTGGTCACCTGATCCTACGTCTTGAATTTCCAGGTGTTTGTGTTTTATGCCATGTTCACAGATAAGTATTGAATGAAGACTTAAAAATATGAATTATTGAAAAACCACGACAGCAGCATTACATAAATCGATCCTCGTAAATAGGTGCTGTACTTTTCTCCTGTTGTTATCGTGAGAAAGTTCCATATCATATGAACAATATTTTCATCTTTCTGTTTTTTATATTTCATTTTCTATGCCACCATTGCATTTTCTCCTTTTTATCGTTTTTATTGACAACTTGAAATGAGAACATCGTTGTAAATGTGTTGAAAAGAATTTGACCTCAAAATAACAAAATGAAACACTGCGGAAGATAATAAACTTTTTAAAAGATGAATTAGTATGAGAATAAGTATGAATTAGAAAAGAAGGAAAGTTTTTGGGGTGTATCGTTTTAAAAAATTTTATGTACTTTAAAAGGGAAAGAATTGGCTTTTTAAAAAATTGGGGTAGATAAAACGTTTTAAAGGGAAAACCGGGATGTCATGGGGAAAAAAGGCCATTCTGGAAATATGAAATCATTAATTTGGTACATTTTTTAAATTGAATGCAGTAAAGCCTCAAAATGACTCATTTCTGGGCTTATTTTCCTTTTGAGAAAGGTCGCCCCCGTCGTCCACTTCAATTTTTGGATATTTATGTAAAAAGCTTTAAAAAATCCATTCCTCAAAATCTTTGTGGGAGATGCATGCTGAGCATGAAATGTTTTCTGAAAGAAAAATTTCCCCTGAAAATTGATGTCTTCTGCAACTTTTAAAAAAATAAAACGAGAAAAAGCAATTTAGGAGGTCACATGAGACATGCGGGTTTGTGTATTCTTACTGCATAAATTTTAACATTCCTATGAATTTTAGAAAGATTTTTAAATTTTTAAATTTAATTTATCACTTTCATATTTTAGAAAAATACAGGGCTATATTTTTATTGAAACTGTACCCTTTTTCTTTCTTTTGAAACCTTACCATAGAATTAAATTTTTAAAAAGATAAAAATAAAGAACAATAATCAATCTGAAAATTCATAAACAATAAAAATATTTAAAGAGGGCATAAAACAAAACCCCCGGAATTCCACAGGTGAGCTCAGCTGCCTATAGGCATCCAATGTTACCGGTCACGAACGCTATTAGCCATAAAAGGTTTGATTTTTAAAGTCTGTTCCGTAGTAAGTTAGTATAAGAAAGGAATAATAACTGGTATGAAAAAAGTCATCTAAAATAAAGTAGTACTTCAGTCAGACAGATAAATAGTAACTGAAAACCAAGTCGATTAAAGTAACCATCTTTGTAAATTTATCTGTTATTTTGGTTACAGAGTTTAAGGGGACGTCTTTGGATTTAATGGACACCAAATTTG